AATTTAAAGTCTAGGGTATTTATTATCCAGCCCTTTACAGAAAAAGTTTTCATACCACTAATATAAAGCAAAGTATTTCTGAAGGTTGAATTTGGCAAACAAACTCAAAAAAATTGGCAACTCTGCATTCCTAAATGAAGTTTCTCCCCAAGGTTCATTTAATTTTCAATTATCATAGTGAGTCTCCTGGCAAAATAGATTTAACCTCAATGTGTTCATGTCTCATTTCAACGGAGCTCAAAACAAGCATTTATAGTGTAACAAAGGAGCATTTTCCAATTATTAATACACATGCAATTCTCACACCACTAATAATTCAGAAGCCAAACCATAAATGGTGGGGAAGGGAATGTAAATTCACCGTATTTACTTTTTATCCTGTCCCCACTTAGCCCAAACACCAGCAACTACACAAATAACGTACTCACCGTTAGCCTTCAGTGAAGACAGGAGGCAAGCCATCATGCTTTTGGCTACACTTGGGTCAGTTACTTTTTTGTGAATATCCATCTTTATCAGAGAAGGGAAGTTGGCAAGGAAAGTTTCTGGCAACACTTCCTGCTCTTCATGGAAACTCAGCATTATTTTCTGTAAAAATTTGAAAGAATCTCTTGACTTTTAGCACCTAGTCATTATGTATCTATATCCCAACTATAGAACCCAGCAATAGGAAAAGGAGAACAACATTCAATAACTCTTCCAGTCATTATGTAATTATCACATGAAGAATTAATTAGCTTATAACTCTAGCATTTTTGTTTTTAAAAGTTTGTCTAAAGGTAATGTGGTATCCTGGATTGGATCCTGTAACAAAAAAAGGACATTAGTGGAAAAAGAGGTGAATAAAATGTGGAATTTATAATAATGCACTAAAGTTGGTTTCTTAAGACTTGGACAAATGTAGAAAATGGGTGAGGGGCATACAGAAACTCTGTATTATCTTTGCTAAATCTAAAAATATTTAAAATTTTTAAAAAATTTAAGTTTGTATTGCTTGCACAAAATGTGCATGTAAAAAATGTTGTAGTAGACACCCTGGTTATTCTTTATATGTTCCTATGCTGAAAACTATAATTATCAGATTTGGAACAGTAAAACATCAACAGCTCAATCATCAGTACACTGTAGTTATAATATCTATGTAATTCCGAGTAAGTGAGGCCATCCACACCACCCTCTTTTAACACAGCCATCTGGCTAGGGGCAGAAGGTAAAAAGTAGTAATAAACTGTAAGAGAATATAAGTACATTTGTATGGGGAAGAGAAGTAAAGAATTTCAGAAAAGGAAAAGAGCAACAACATGGAAGAAAAAAGATAAATGTCACAAAAAGAAGGTTCCAAATATGTATCTAAAAGTATTTATTGAGCATAAACATTATCAAAAAGGAACTATTCTGAAATATATATATATGCTGATGTATATCTGTAACTGTAGAAGAAAAATTCACTGAAGTTGGGACAGGGCTGACACATGACAAGTACTCCTATCTGGAGGCACCTGGGTGGCTCAGTTGGTTAAGCATCTGACTCTTGATCTCTGCTCAGGTCTTGATCCCAGGGTTATGAGAGCAAGCCCTGCACTGGGCTCCATGCTGGGCGTGGAACTTACTTAAAAAAAAAAAGTGCTCGTATCTGAAAACAGACTCTCAGAGCAGCTCACCCCTATTGTTTTTTTATTACAATGAAAAATACATTACTGAGAAGGCAAGTGAGCCTGACAACCAAGCAAATGAGAGATTTTAATTACCTAAACTTGTCCTGAGTCCCCAAGGAAGAGACCATTTAAGTTTGGTGCTTCAAAACAGGGAGGAAAAAAAAAAAGGTTCTCTGTCTATATTTTGTTTTTACTTGAGGAAGTATTATAACACTTCCAAATAAAAAAACTCCATCATGCTGAGGGAACAATGGAAAATGCCATGCTTAAGGGGGCCCCTGGGTGGGTCAGTCAGTTAAGTGTCTGATTCTTGATTTCAACTCAGATCATGGGATTGAGCCCCAACTGTCCCATGGCCCCTGCAACCAATGGGCTCCATGCTCAGTGGGGAGTCATTCTCTCCTTCTGCCCTTACCCCTTAAAATAAATAAATCCTTTTTTTTTTTTTTTAAGTGGGGGGCGCCTGGGTGGCTCAGTTGGTTAAGCATCTGATTCTTGATTTCGGCACAGGTCGAGATCTCAGGAGTCATGGGATCCAGCCCTGTGTCAGGCTCCGCTCTGGGAACAGGCTCTGCTTGTCCCTCTCCCTCTGCTCTCCCCCCACCCCCCGCTCACACATGCTCTCTAATAAATTAATTATAAATCTCTTAAAAAAAAAAGTCTGATATAAAAAAAAGTATCACACTTAAGAATCAGCAGCAAGAATTCTTTCTTACAGGAAATTTAGAAAGCACTGAGATTTTAAGATATATCTGCTTACTTCACTTAAGAAAAATTACTGTAGTATAATCTCTAAACCTGTTATTACCTCAGCCTCAGAGAGTTCTTTGTCACCATTTGGCTTGGTATACTTCTCCTGCATGAAGGGAATCCAGGAAATTTTACATTTTTTAATGAAGGGGGTCACATCTACAGTGCCCAGGGCATAACCACATATGCCATCTTCATCTTCTAGGACAAAACAGTAATCCAGGCTGAGGGAAAGCAGCCCTCCTACTAACCTGCTCAGAAGAAAAAGAGGGCAGAATGAGTTTCTAACACAAAACTTTAAACTTCAGTGATGTAGGTCTAATGTACTTGAATGGCAATCTATGGAGACTACATCTGGTGTAAGAAGAAACTGAAAATACCCTTTAATATATTCAAATTTTATTAAAACTAAAGTGGGATTTCTAGGAAACTTTATTTCTAGTCATCACTGCCCCTCAACCTGATAAACCTGGCTATGAAATGCTACTCCCAAATCCAACAAATCCAAATACTTCATCACATACTTGTCTCCAATAAGGTCAGGCTGACTTTGAAAAGGTAAACCCACTCCATCGTCATACATTTCTCTGCAAATCTTGTACACGGAAGCCTGAAAATATAATCTAGTTAAGCAACAAAGCAAGAAATACAGCAACAGAATTTAACAATAGACTCGTAAGTTAGACCAGACTTCTAGGATAGGGAATAACAAAATGCCTGGCCTGTCATAAATATCACCTTGCTTTGTTAAGTATTTATTTACAGAATTGTATTTGTTAATATCAGTAGAAAACAGTATGGTTATGGGAAACACAGAGAATTGCTTCACAGGGGATAGTTTTAGGTAGTTAAGCAGTGAATTCAAAATGCAGCAAATAATGCTGTTGAGTCTCTGTTTTGTGTATGTCCAAAATGTTTTAAACATGTTAGTCTTTAAACAGACTTGCTGTTTCCTGTAAGCTGATTATCAACAGCCTATTGATACTTCACAACTGAAAATTACAGAATTACTAATAGAGAAAATCAGTCAAGGATAACTTATCATTTGGACAAACTTAATTCCAACTCTAAATACAATTTAGCTGATTTTCATACAGAGGACTTAAAGGACTTAGCTCAAGATGTTATGAGTCTAAGTTCTTTATCAGGTTCTTCCTTAAATATCACCCCTCCTGGGCGCCTGGGTGGCTCAGTTGGTTGAGCGACTGCCTTCGGCTCAGGTCATGATCCTGGAGTCCCAGGATCGAGTCCCGCATCGGGCTCC